TCAAAGAGCTTGTCTGAGACCTGGATGCTGCTTTTCAATATGGATGGATGTAGCTGTCAGCTATATATGAGCACAAGCAAGGACAAATACACCGGGGTGCCTCTGGGGTAGGAATGCACGAAAGAGCACTTAGACCATGATATGACCCATCTTTCACCGTACCAACATTGTGCACCTGGTAAAATTTTCTGGTACCTCTTGATTCTGTTAGTTTTGCTTTCTCTACATTTATATCCTCTTCAAAAGAAGACCTGAGAGTGCTTCCATCACTAGAACAATCCCAGCAACCACACCCACCTTGTAAGAAAGTGTTCTTAAGTTCTTGAAAAGTCTAGAAGAAAATACTTAGGCCAGACCTTTGTGACTGTCCTTTGGAGGCAATAAAACCCTGTCAAAAGAGAGCTGAGAAGAGAAAATGATACTGAGCACCAGTGGTAGCTGTAAGATTTTTTAGCTGGTGGAACTATCAACAAAATATTTTATATGAATGTCTGTGTATATGGAATGCAAGGGAGATCTGAGTATGAAACTGTAACAGTGTAGGTTATTCATTATCAAGGTAATACTAGTAAGACTACAATACCCAGCCGAATTTTGGAAAACAGAAAAAAAATGGCTATTACCTTGTAAAGGACCTTGTAACTTTCTCCTAAGCTCCCATTTTTGAGCTTAGTCCAAGCCGCAATATGCTTTCCTCTGCAAATTTGGGAACAGCTGGTGAAATCCCCACTAAGGGCCAATTCATGGGCACACAAATCATACTCTGTATCGTGTTTAAAAAAACCCCCCCCCCCCCCCAAAAAAAGATAGTAATATGTTGTAAGTTGTTGCATGCTGTAACTTTTTGTATGATTCCTCTGTTGCATTGTGTCACCACTGCTGTCACTATCAAGAGAGAACAACAGAGAAAGACTTTGGCAAGGTTTACAAACTTTTGGTGAGGATGGACCCCACTGTTCCCAAGGGTATCCCTGCTAGGCAGGGGAAGTTTTCCCCTCCACATTTTTATGACCAAAAACCGCAAGTCCTGAGCTTCACAGCCTCCTTAGCCTCCTGCCACCTCCCATCCCTTCTGTTGTTGTCATGCATGTTTCCATAGCAGCAGTAGGAGAGCTGTCCAGTTCTTTTATTCATGGTACAACAGGCTGAGGCAACTACAGTTGTCTGCTTGACAGCTCAGAGTTCCTGTTATCCTCACAAGGGTGATCTGCTGTCAGTCACGTATTTAACAGCGCTCCATCAAGCACTCTGCTATCTTCTGTGCTGCAGCTAGAGTCGACACAGTCATCCCCATTGTCTGCTCTTCAACAGATGAGCCCTCTTTCAGGGGAGTGCTCGCGAGACCCCATGAGCTACAGACAGCCTCATCGTTTAGCCAAGATGAATGCAAATCATTCTTGGAGCCCCTAAGAGAGCAGTGTGTGTCTTTGTGAACACTCTGGATGAGAGGCCTTCAGATTTGACTATGATTTTATAGACCAAATATTTCCATTCTGTCTGTTCTATACTACTTGATGTACAAATATAGCTATTCCTGGGAACCCCCAAACAATGTTAGCAAAGGCATATCCTTCCAAACTTATCCTGCCCCCGCTTCAAGAATACAATCTGGAATACAATCCTCTGCTGGGAAATATATTCAGGGAGACATATACTTCAAAGTTTCTTCACCATCAGAGAATACGAACAATATATCAATGTCCTGGTACTCAGAGCTGCCAGGCAGGCCTGTTCAGGTGCTTCATAAAAATAATACCGCTGTGTCCTATGTCAACAAGCAAGGCTGTGCCATTTCTCCCTAACTTTTCAAGGAGAGAGCTGCCTCTTGGGATTAGTGCAGTTATCCATGATCTGTCTTGCAGGGACTCTGAGCAGTCAAACAAACCAACTTCAGTTGCTTCAAACTGCTAGACCATGACTAGAAGATGTAGACAGCTGTCCTAATACCACTATTTCAATAGTGTTCCTCTTTGTGTCACAATCTAACAACAAATGTCAGGCTTTATGTCCCAGATACCTGGGTTTATCTCTGGAAAGTTACTGATTTTTCTGGTTGGAGACCCTTTTCCTGCTTCTTCCCTTCTTGAAAGCATTTTTTCTAAGTAAAAGACAGAGCTCAGGCAATACTGTCGGCCTTAGAAAGAGACTAACTCTTGCTGTGCTGCTTACAAAGAACCTCACATTGAGCTTAGACTACGAAAGAGTGCTTTTGGGCTGTAAAAGGAACCTACATTTCTTTTAGGGCCTCTGCCAAAACTGACCTCCTTTTGGGATGCTCCAAAAATTGCCATTTGAGAAGCAGTCAGATGTGGTCCCACTCACTCTTTTACTAAACCTTACAGACTTACTGAAGTATCTGGGAGCAGTACTATGTTCAGAAGACCTGTCTGTAAGAGGTTCTTCTGCCAGACATGTTTTCATGGGTGCTGCACATGCACACCCAATGAAAGGAGGAAGAACGGCTGCTTGTTTGCATTTTTTCCTGTAAATAGATATATTTCAGGTAATACATCTCCAATACTTCCTCCTACTCCTCTTCCATCTGTAGTCTAATTGAATATATAGCTTCCTAGGATGAGAGGAGCTGAAACGACTGGCTCTTCCACCCCTAATTTTACCATATGTGCAGCACATAAGGAGAGAAGGAATGGATGTCTTTAAAGATAATGCCAAAGTAAAAAACGAAACAACCACCACCACCACCACCCCCAAAACCCCAGAACAAACTAACAATGCTGGCATAATAGTTTCCACAGTGCTAACACAGGCAAAGACAATGAATTTGGAAGAACTGTTACAGTTCTGTTTTTATCAAACTGTCCAATTCCCATAGATCCTACTTCCAGTGAAGCCAAGAGAAATTCTGCCACTAGTTTCAGCAGGAGTAGTGCTAGTCTTGCCGTGCCTACTGTGGACTTTGATCTTGCTTATGCTTATGTTTAGGAGTAGGCATACTGGGCTTGTGCATGAAGTTAATCACCTGCATGAACAGTTGCAGATAGACTACCAGATTCTGATCCTACAAATATTCATGCTTGAACTCATCTTCAAAGACAATGATGTTCAAACTGAGTATGTTTTCTGTAGTTTCAAAGCGTCCTGGTGAAGGAGGCTATCACCTACACTGTGCTTTGAATTAGGCCCTGTACTTTCTTCACTGGCTCATAGGGTATGTAAGGTACTTAGACAATGATCATTTTCCTAAGGGAAAAGATAAGCAAAGTTACTTTCTCATGCTTTGATCCCATTTATTTGTGTGTAGCTGCATATGTAATTTTAGAAGAAATTATAATCTATTAAACATGCAAAGCCTGAAAAAGTAATTTTACTGTTCCTGAAAGAGTATCGCAGTGTAATGATATTTCTAATACATGGCTTATATATTTTTCATAATTTTTATGTCAACCAAATTTTGAACAATGAGATTGAAATTACAAATGTGTGTAGACAATATCATCATATTGAAGAAAATGTGCCTGCTCAGCTGTGTAAAAGGATACATGCTGCCTTTAGCAAATCATTTCTGAGGCTTTTCAAATAAAGCGGTGAACTGGTAATGATGCCTGTCAATTGATGAAATAACTTATTTCATCTACAGATAGGATTTTCTTGTGATTTTGATTAAACAAAATGTCTCCAAAGGAGCATGGTACCTTACTCGTGATTATTTTACTATTCAGGTCTTCCTGAGCTATTGGCATTCTTGGGTCCCAGTCTGAGATATTCTCTTCAGGGATATGCCATATACTGCTTTCTATCATTGCTTCCTTCTACAGCAATAAACATAGTGTTTATCATTACATTCCCTATATATTCTTTCCATAAATCATACTAATCAGAGAAGGAAATACTAGGTTTTATTCTTATTCTCACTGGTTTACATTCAATGAGGTGGCATAGGCACGGTGCTCTGGACTTTATGATCTCCTAAAGGTACTTGTGGTTGAGTGCCATTTTGTTCTTATTGCCTGCTGCTCACCAATGGCTTTCTCAATTTTATCCTGCCTAGTTCTTGAGAAACATCATCAAGGTATGAAGAGAGTAGCAATGAAAGGAAATTAGTAGCTCGCAGCACTGCACCAGAAAAATTATTATTCTGTTATGACTATAAACAGTAGCATCAAATGTGAAAATAGACTTTCAAATTAATTAACAGTTAAGGGAAATGGGTTTAGAATAATTATCAGATTGCTTTTAAGCAGCTATGTTTACAAGCACATTGCTGCTTTCTATTAAGTCCTTGCTAGGGAAAAATAGCAAATAAGTACATATTTTGAGTTTTGAATCTGTTCTATGTTCATACTTTTTTACAAAGGCTCAGGAGAATAAAAAAACAATGGTATTGCCCCATTCCTCACAGCTCCAGTGAAAGTGAAAGTTGCCTATTCTTCCCAAAGGCAAAGAGCCTTTTCTTGCTCCTATATATGTGGGGGAATAAACATGTGCTTCTCCATCTCCTATACTGTGACTCTTCCAACACCCCTTCGGTGAGTGATCTTTGCGTCGACTGTGCCAACAGCCTGTATACATCCACTAGGACACCTCTTTGCAAGTCCAGTGAGGCTACTTCCAGTCTACTGCAGCTACAAATAGATGTAAAGACACCAGAGCTGATCCACTCTTCATTGATATTCATACCTTAAGCACTATTTCACATATCTTTTCTCTTTTTCCCTCCAAGCCTATCTAGTGCTTTTCAAAGTGACTGGTATAAGTGATCAGGGTCACAGTGCTGGGCATCAACTTCTTGGGAGCTCAAAGATTTCACATAATCTGAACACCAGAAGTACTAAATCTTTTATTATATCCCATTTTCCCTTGAGCATTCCAACTCTGCAAAAAATAAATAAACAAATCATTCTTTATTGCCTTCTTCCTGCAAGGATGGTAATAGCTGGGTAGAGAAAAATAACAAAACTTGAGCTAGCTAGACTGCTGTTATGATAAATGAGTAATTTTTGCACATTTGAATCTACTTTGTTTAATATTTTCACATACAGATATTTCATCGATTGGAAGAGTGATGTGGACAGCTACTTTACAATAGATGCTACTGAAGGAACCATTGCTACTAATGAATTACTGGACAGAGAAAGCACAGCACAGTACAATTTCTCTATAATTGCAAGTAAAGTTAGTAAGTATGACACAAACTGAATTAATATGCTAATGTGGTATTTTTTTCAGAATGTAGTGCTCAGGCATAAATAGGCTGCAAAGAGTGCATGTATTGCCAAGAGATTTAAGAAGGCCCAATAAATATCATTTTGCCAGACTCACTGTGAGGCTGTGTGATGTCCAAACAGCCCTGTCTAGTAAGGTTTTTCTAGTACCCCTCAGGTAGGCACAGTTCCCTCAGAAGCTAAAAAACATTCTGTCAGCACGAAGAGCATGAGGAGCTGTATGGAGACCTTCCAATTCTTATTTCTGATTTTATAATTCACTCCATATGATATTAGGTTAGTCAAATAACAGGTCTGTCAATCTGCTTTTTGAAAGTAAAAAAATTTAACAACTCATTCAATTCTCAGACAAAAAGCACACTAAATTGACTCAAGATTTAAGGCACTAAAATGAATCAATCTGTGTGCTGCATCTCTGCTCTTGTGTTTTCTCTCTGCCCAAGACTATATGCCTAACCACTTGTTTTCTTTTCCTATATGATTTGCGGGTTTTTTTTGTTTGTTTGTTTCTTGTCTTTGTGTCTTCTCCTACATATCTTTTCTTTTTGTAAGAACTCCCTTCTTCTGCTGTATTTTGTAGCTGCAGCTTTCTTCATTGCCATCCTCCTGTGTAGCATTACTCCTTCATGATCCTTTCAAACTGAAACTCTCATAGGTGCATACCACCCTTTGAATACAGGTCTTTTGGTCACTCAGCAGTTGTGTAAAGGCCACAGAAGTCTTTCTGTTGACATCAATAGCGTGTAGAAGAGGACCCCTCCTGTATTTTCTACGCATTCTGTATTGTTTATGTGTCCAGAAATACAAGTTTCTAAAGCAAAGGACATGTTTTCCTCAATGTATTGCTTGGACCGAGTCTTCAAAAAATACTACATGCTACTAACAGGAAGAGGGAGATTTTGGAAGCAGAGAAGGTATACATTATTTAAAATAAAAAAATAATTTTTCAGTTGTAGTTATCTCAAAAAGAATCATAGGCTCATTCCCTGGAGCCTGAAAATGTAAGGAGGACACCAGTCAAATGAAAACTTGAATTTTATCCGTAGCTTGGAAAAGGAATACACTAACAGAGGAAACTATCACAAGTGATTGAGTATCTGGAGATACATGTGCATGTGTATATTGACAGAAAGTCTAGCAGTACTGTAATTTGTTTTCAGAGAAACTGAAAGTCAGGTAGATGCAAAGGGGAGGTCTCATAATGGTCTATGTTTCAGTAAAGCTTAACTATTTAGATTTATTGGTGGACAAAGAATATTTGAGATTTGTAATTTTTTTCTGCAGTAAGGCAGCAGTTTTAGTAAACTTGGGGTGAATCTGTTTATTATTCCCAAGAGTAATTAAAGCTAGCTAAAACCTCCAAGTCTACTTGTCTGTGCACCTTCCTGTCACATATACAGTAATATCATGTTTATGTAGAGCTGTATGAGGTAGGCTATATTATGAAATTCCCAGTTTTAACAATTGCCTAGTTAAGAATCTACACCTAAGACGTATTTGTGATTCATTTCAGCATACCTCAAAATATTTATACATCGACCATTATCCATAGCATTAAAAACAATTGCCATACCAGTACTACACCAGTAACTGGTAATATTTTGAAGGATTTGAGGTATACTAACTGTCAAAACTTTATATGCAGTTGTCTGACTAAGGGCTAGCACAGAAAGAAAGGCTGGAGTTTGAGGGATGACACACTGCACACAACCAAAAAAGGTTAGAGAGAAGAAAATATCTGAAGAAAAAGAGGGGGAAAAAATTACTATATTTGAAGAATTTCTGCTATTAAAAAAATTGCCACTCATTCAGTGCTGATGTAGAAACACTGAAACTGCCATGTCTTATTAGTGAAAAAGTGCACTGAACAGTGCCTTGACATATACATGATTACCTAAAGAAAGTGGCCTGGTATTGCAATCAGTTGCATAAACTTGCCTCAGAAATGGACACTATTGTTACCTAAGTATTTCCAGTTCTCCATGACCTTATCTCTTTAAAATAAACAGACTCCAAACTAGTAATAGGCATATTAAGTTCTGTTACTCAAACAACTTTATTGCTAAAATATGTATTTTGCCTTCTCACTGTGAGAGAACAACAAAAAAATGGTCATTCTGCAAATTATCTTTTCTTGAACAGGCCAATTACAAACAAAGACCACCAGCTTTATCCCCATCAAGTCAGAGAGAAAAATAGTTTAAAATGGCTTTGCCATCTTTCCCCTGTATGTGGAAAATGATGCCAAGGTCACGAGCAGGCTTGCATGGACACCCTGTTTGTGCCTTAGCCCTGGGGCCTTCTAAGTGATTGTTCCCTTTTGTTCTTCTGTAGCTTCAAATGAAACCCTGTATGAATCACAGATGATGTTTTTGTTACTTTTTTTCTCACAGCCGTTAAAGACTTGAAGTAGTATTATGACTTTTGAGCAATCACATTACCTTTCAAACAGTGGCACAAATGGCATGCAGTTTAGATAGCTAAACGTAGCAGCAGACAATTGATAAATGTAAATGTAGATATGAATGTACCATTTAGACTTTTCTTACAAGCTGATAAATCTGACTACTATTAGCACTAAAGCACCAGAAGTTCTAAATTTAAAGGAATACATTTCAAAAATAAGGCAGAAGAGAATTGCCTTGTGTTTATTAAAGTAACCTTTGCTGACATCACCCATTGCAGAGAAAAAAAAGAAGCCATATTCAAAAGCCTGGTTGTTTGGTAATTTGTAAATGGTTTCATGTCCAGTGGCCTCATTCTGCAGTTATTTGACATGTATATGTATATATATTCATATACATATATATACATACGCACACTGAGATTATTCTTCCCTAAACTCCAGGTCCTGCCCCTTCATCCCTGCCTACACCAGACATCGTGCACATTGGCAGCTTAAAGGGAGGTAGAACTTGGACCCTTAGCAAACAGTTAATTGTGAAATCTGCTTGTCCTAGGCTTGCTTATGTCAACTTGTGCGCTCACAGCCAGGGAAGCCCTGGTTACCCAGCAATAACACAGTATATCTTGCATACGGACAGTAGCTGCTGGTTCCACATAGGGAACTGGGATAAGCGAAGTTATTCTACCCGAGTTATGCAATGACCAGCTCTGACCATGTATCATTATACTGCAATCTTTATTTCTAACCCTGAAAAAATTCCAAACATCTGATCTAAACAGTGTCTGGGAATCTGTCTCCAAATAGCAGCACAACTGATTCTTGAGAACATCTCAGAGGCGTACCCAGTGTGGAGTGATGGATAGCCTACTGTCATGTTTAACACAAGACACCATAACTTTATTCTCAGCCTTGTTAAAGAAGCCTGTCCCAAAGTAAAGATCTTTTTAAGTGGGAGGTGGATGATTGTTCTTCTGACAGGCAGATGATGACACAGACCTGAAGGCAGCTGAATGCAGAAGGTCCCTTACACATCCGTAGAAATAAAAAATCAGCCTTTATATAGAACAAAGTGCATGAACAGGGAGGCGATGTTTCAGACACATTTTTCCCCCATTTCACTTCCCAATGTCTCTGTACTTCTTTTCGCTCCCTGGCTATATTTCACTGCAGCTTTTTTCTTAGAGTAAATCAACACCCTAGTAGCCTTCATGGTTGCTGTTTCTGAACATTTCTGATCCCACAAACTCTGTCCAAACTAATAAATTAAACATGGCTTGCATTTGTTTCAAGCACAAAGGCCAGCTGGCACTGAGTAGCCTATTTCTATGCCATTAAACACTCTCACCTTCCAAACAGGGTGTCCACATGTAAATCGATTCTTTGAGAGTGGTCCTTTGCCCATACTAACTCCCAAGCACATGCATGTGAATTGTCTGCAAGACCACTAGTTTTCCCAGGCCAAAACTGTGCCAAGGGCTGCTGTCAGAACATAATGGTATAAAAAATCACAGTCCAGTGCTCAAACAGTTCCCCAGTGTGCTGCTTAATTACCTGGTATGGAAATGGTTTTTGCATCTTACAAAAGAGGACATAGATAAGATGTATAAAATCTTATTTCTGTTTTCCTGTCCTCAAGGTTAAGGTTGAAAATAAATGTAAAGTAACCATAATCCTTCCTGTCCAAACCATCTTCCCAACTCCTCTAACTCTAGGCCCAAATTTTGTGAATGCTAAAGAAACCTCAGCTTACATCTCAAGATTGGGTTTATCTTCTCCTGCGTACCACAACTGGGATTAAGGAATCACCATTTCTCCTCAATTGTCAGTATCTATTTTCTCAGATAACTTGGATTTTCACAAGTTCATTAGTCAAAATATTTTACATATTTTCTACTACTGTGATATCCTTGAACAATAGAGATATTAACAGATGATGGTACTCAAGCAAAAGAAGAAAGCAGGGTTGTCACTGTGTTACGGACAGGAAAGCTGAGGAAGGAAGAAGCTAATTAGTTTGCCTGTATCTTACAGGCCGAATTGAAACCTGAACTCAGTTTCTTAATTCATAGGCTAATGATTTAACCAACTTGTCAGCTGTGTTATTTGGGTTTAAAAGGCATGAGCAGATGTTTTCAGTGACTCATTCACTGATACCAGCATGCACGTCACTGCTGTGCTCACAGGGCTCAAAAAGATTTGATTTTGAGACAAATGGCAAACAAAAAAACAGAGAAAATGGAGGTCAAGTCTGCAAAGTGGTATCTGAAATGCAATTCTTCATCCTCGTTCACATCAAGTATTACAGGTCTTTGCAATTATATATGAATTCAAAGCTATACACAATCTTCTTGCAGTCTTCCTCTATATACATGAGTAGTTTCTTTATATACATGAGTAGTTAAACTGATACCAGCACAAACCAGAAAGAAAATTAATCACATAAATAAAGTGAAACCCAGAAGTAGGTTCATCTTATGCTGTAGTAATTCTGTTTACTTTCATGTTTGAGTTTTGCTGACCATTTATGCAAGGTAAAATTCTACCTTGCTAAAATACTTATCAAGAAAAGATTTTGGCCTCTAATATATCTTTCAAAGAATCATAGAAAATAAACCACAGACCATCAGTGAGAAATAAATATAAAAAGTATACTCATATGTGTGTATATTTCCAAAGCAATGCTATCTTATCGTGATTTTGAGGGAGGGGAAAAATGTCACATCCCTTTGTTCAACTTAAAAATACACAGTCTCATAATATGGACACTGTTCCAAAAAGCTGAAAAAATTATTTATGTAAGATACTTCAAAAAAATATAGCCTAAAAATACTTCTTATAGAAACTGATATGTTTAATAGAAATGATCAAAATCAGCTAATATCTCCCATGTACATGATGCATAAATTTTGAATACATTCATTCTTTTACTGGAAAGGCATTGTTAACATATTTCTAAGAGGAAACAAACTAACATCTATGCCTGTACTTTCATGGCAATGCATTAACCTCTAGCGTGCTTGAAGAACGTATCCTGAACTGTTGTTCAGTGTTGTTCAGCACCTTAAAATAAACACACAAAGCCTAAAGGAAAACCTGAGTTACTCCATGTGAGTTGCTCTGTGTGTTCTTTGCAATGGGTACTGCTAGAAGTGAAGTTTTAAGTTAGGTTGTTTCTGCCAGTAACTGCATGAACTTGACCTACTCAAGGCTTTTCTGATCTCTGTATATACTCAGAGTCAGGGTCCTGCCCTCTATGGGCTAAAATAACTTAGTACTTTTTTATTTCCTATTATACAAAGGAACCAATTCAACTATGAGCAAGTGATCTAGATTTCTTCGGGTTCTTCAGGCATCTAAAGAACCACTGCTTAATTTGCAGCTGCTAGACCAAACTCTGTCTTCATTCATACTGCACAATGCCTTTCTCCACAGAGACATTCTGCAAGTAGGGATGATGCTGAATTGGAAATGAATGAGGATTAAAAGGAATATTATTAGATATGGTCACTATTAATTACATATCTTCATAGGAAGGAGCTACAAATATTTGGGTAGTGGGTTTTTGTGGGTTTTTTTTTTATTAGATTCCAAGCTGAGTTTGTAGGATGGTCAGTTTATCCACTACTTGTAAACAGGTGAATCACACTTCTGCTTGCAGCTGGTCCTACTTAACTAGGAGATCATTGGAGAATAACTTTTGGCTTTGACAGAGGCTTCTTGAAAACACTTCTTTTAGTAGTTCCTAACAACAAGAAAGAAATAATGTAAAATTTCTACAGTGCTACCATGAAGAGACTTTGGCCCTTGCTGTGTTAGTTATAAAAATCAGAAATGCAAAGGTTTATACAAATTATGAAGTAAGCAGCTCATGAAAATAATTTGAAGGGTCCATTTATGTCTGAAGATTCAAGAAAACTGTTATTGTATTTAACCATGACCCCATGCTGTCACTCCTACACCACCCTGATTCATAACATAGATTTCTTGAATAGCTAACTATGTCTGTATAGTGGCTGCCACTCTTCTTAAATGGAAAAGGATAAAATAATTATCCTTTTGACTCACCAGCTAAACTGTTTTTTATGTATCTGCTATCTTGTAAGGGGTCTCAGCATAAAGTAAAATAGAATATTGTCTGCTCTGTATTGAATTTGTGTCTCCTTTCCGTCAGAGATTGCATTTGCAGGTAAACTTGTTTATAAAATGCATCTAGTGACTGATGAAGATTATTTGCATTGTTAGGACAATAGAAAGAAGCATAATGTATACTGGTTTTTAGCATTTCTTTTGCACAGAAGTATTTGCTGCTTGCAAATACTTATGCAGTTAAAGAAATAACTATTACAACATAGCCTAATGGTTTAACCACAAGTTGAATGCTAAGCTTTACATGTTTCAGTGCTAAATTTACCACTGACTCTGTCTGGCTTTCAGCAAGATTTTTCTTTTTATCTTTCTCTCTTACTTTTCTCCAACTTCTGAATAGGTAAGCTCCACTTACCACCTTATCTTGAAGATGTAGACAGTGGCTAAGTAATAAATATTGATTTTCTGCATTCCATTGTGGAAAACAGAATTCAGTTTTAACCATTGGAAGCGTTTTCCACAGGCTCCATGGAAAGTGATCTGAGAAAATTTTGCATCTTTAATTACAGGTGCAACTTCAATTTTTTTAATTTGTGCTCTGATAAACATAATCATGTTGATGATTCCTTACTCCATGAAGAGTAATGGATCAAACTCTGGTACAAAATGATAAGAGGTTTGCTTCTGATTTCTTCTTATTACAAATCAGAAATAAACAGAAGTCAAGGGCTTTTAGAAGTCACAGTACTGGGATCAAAACAGTTTATGACAGCTCACGGGCACTGGTGATGACAACAAACATAAACAGTGTTCCTTAATGCTTTTCTCCTAAAAATCATTTATAGGTAACCCACTATTAACCAGCAAAGTCAACGTTATAATAAATGTCCTGGATGTCAACGAGTTTCCTCCTGAAATTTCAGTTCCATATGAGACATCTGTATGTGAAAATGCCAAACCAGGACAGGTATTTCAAATTTGTAATGCTTGCTATTTTGTTTTTATTTTCCTTATTATTTATAGCAATAGAAATTTTGGGGTTTGAGATTACAACATGATCAGAATTCTTTTACAAATAAAATGTCTGTGTTGGAAATACCCACCTTTTGAAATTCTGTTTGTTGACCTTTATGGTCTATTTATGGTCTATTTATTTTTATTATGCCTGATTATACGGGCCTCAGCCACCCTTTACTGTGCATTTAATAGTTATGACAGGAGAAGGAGTCCTTTCCTTAAAGACACTTAAATGTAAGGGTAAAACTGCAGTGAATAAATGGAGTAGGACAGATTACACACATTTCTGTGTCCTATTCTGAGAAAAAGAACCCACAACCCCAAAGACAATCCTCCTGAAAGCTTGTTTTTATAAGCAGTTTCAAATATATACATAGCATGCAAAACCTATTTCAGATTCAGAATATCACCTTATACTGTGAGTAATGCCAGTATTAATAGATCTGGCCCCAGAAGCTGTTGGCACGTGCTCCTTCTGCACAAAAGTTGTGCAATGAAACACAGTGCTGCAAAGCACCAAGGCCGACCATCATACATATTAACAGCTAATACTCTTTCCAAGACAAGACTTGTAACTTCAGCTGTTCAACTTTGAGAGTTACTGCCAGCCATGGAAGGAACATACTCAGCCTGCTGTGAAATCAGTGACTTCTCTTTATATGTATGTAATATGTAATCAGTCTTGCCTTTATTACAGATTTGTCCAGAACTTCATATGATATTCCTATCTCTTTTTTTTAATGTGTTTCAACTAACTACCATACAACATAATTTAACTTCTAGTTTATCAGATACCTTTACTTAGTACCTTATCCTGGCACTAACAGCAGCAGCAGAAAGGGGAATATTTCACAGGGAAGGCTGAGATAAGCACTGAGCTGTCAAAACTTATAAATGTTTAGACCTTTGTTACATAAAAAAAATGCCTTCCTTTTTAAAAGATCAGTGGCAATCCTACTATGAAACATTTTAACTGCTCTGTGCTTACCTGAAATCTAGTAGATAGGACTCCGGGACCCAGAAGTTCCTTTGTGCCTTGATGGTGCAGACCTTTCAAGGTGCAGACCTCTCTACTTCATTTCAAGCTGTAAAATTAGGGTGCAGCTTTGTGAAGTACTACAACATGTACCAATCATAATGGTGATAGTAATACAAGCAGATAAAGTGAACTGTCTTTAAGTCATCACTCACTTGAAAACAATTGCTAGTATTTTGACACAAACCCCAAATACTAAATACTTCTGCTATGAATATAGGGTAAATCTTTCTGATTTCCTTCAGATATGTCAAAGCAAGACCTTCTGAGACATCATGAGTCCTCTGGAGGCTATAGTGTTCAGACTTCTTGCCTCCACTGTCCAATATATTAGGGGAATGAGAGTAATCCAACAGGATTTCACTTTCATTGTTTCATTTGATGTTCACTGTGCACTTCTACAAAACTGCTTCTTTTAGAAGAATGAACTGACTTCAGAATTAATCTTAATCTGGTTTCAGGTGATACAGACTGTCACTGCAGCAGACAAAGATTTGTCACCAGCTGGGCAAAGGTTTTCCTTCAGACTGTCAGCTGAGGCTTCCAACAAACCAAATTTCACAGTCCATGACTACAGAAGTAAGTTGCTTACCCATCTCTCTCTTGCAGAGCAGCAGGCCGTGATAATAATGACAAATATGATTACTTTGCATTACAGTCATGTCTACAGACTAACTTTTTTATTTGACATTTCTGATTGTTTAACTATCTAGGACATATATTAATATAAATTCAGGTCTTGCACCTCTTCTCATTTTTAGGGGACAGGAATTGTCAGAACATCAAAGGCTGAGATTTCCCTACAGGCCTGCAAAAACACTGCTACCTGTTTTATTTTCTTACTTTTATCATTCAGTATCTCATATGGCAATGCAGGTATACCTTTAAACAAGGCACTATTACTGCCTTGTTTAAATAGTATTACTTTGTTAACTGTTTTCAAAGTACCCAGCTATTGTGCTTTCTGGAGGATGCATAGTCCTGAAGAAGAATTAGTTCTAAATATGGACAGTTCTGCTGTAGTACAACATCCCACAACACTCTTAATAATCTGTAGATTTATATAATTAACATGTCTGATTTTTCTCCTGATTTTTATCATAACTGATCACCTTCTTTTTCTTTTTCACTTGAATGCTTTTGATAAATGGCAAAGAACAAACCAAGATGAAAAAATTGATCTTTTTTTCTACAGTAAAACCTCTTCAAGCATGTAGTCTTGTGAACAGACACAGCTAAAACATCATAATAAGCTGTAGTAAATTTTCACCACTAATTACTTTAATCAAATAAGGAAAAAACATTTTAACAATGCCTTTATCAGCTATTAGGTGATCTTTAAAGAACTGCGATATGATAAGCCTTTCTTAAAAAAGGGGTTACATTACTCTGCAAAGAAAGAACACCTAAAGACATCCAATAAAGTTCAGTAACATTCCTTTGCCTATTTAACTATGTAGGTTATACGTATTACTTTTAAGAAAAAGTATATGCTGCTTAATTTTTTTAAAAAATTATTAATTATATTAATTA